GCCAACATTTGGGGAGTGTCGCCAAGCTGGTCACGCCTACCCAGCTGGCCACACCCAGTGAGTGGCATCAAGCTGGCTAGGCCCCTCCAGGCCTCCCAAGGTCAATTACAGCCTTGATGTGGCCCTCAATGAAATTGAGTTTGACACCTCTGTTCTAAGGGATTTATACGTTTAAAAATAACAACAAATTTCTTATCATATTTCCACAAGACAGAGGTGTAATGTAAAATATCTCTAGAAGAAAAATGTTTCTTCTACCTAGTGGCAGGGTAGACAATAGCCTTTCCTAAATGGATAGCCTAAGCCAAGACCAATTTCTATATGCTAAAGCTGTTAATTAGAAACATCAGCAATAGGGAGAAAGACCATTAGAACTCAAAAGCATACATATATATTTTGTTAATAGATTATTTCAAAAAGATGAGCATATACTGAAAGGCTAGGAAGTAATAAAGATACAGAGACTCTTCCATCCTACAATTAAATCTGATTCTACTGTAATCAGAAACAAATGTTGCCAAAGTGCCAAGTGCCACAGATTCCTGGAATCAAAGATGAAAATACCTCATTAATTGTGGCTTGAAGTAGTAATAGTAAATAATGTTGCTTTGACAAATCCTGACTAATGGGTAAAGCAAGGCAATTGACTAGCATTTTAAAAATTATGCTGCAGAAGGGTTACTATGTATTATTGCTTTGGTTTTACACAATCCTGTTCATTTTGATTCCAGAAAGTTAACTGGGTTGAAAGCAGTGTGTTTTGAAGTTCCACTCTTAGACTGCAATGAATGAACAATTTCACAGCTAAAGAAGTAAAGGGAAATAATTGAAAAGACATTCCCTGAGCATTTTTGGCTGCTATTCAATTTTACAAAGTAAAGAGCAGGATCATGGATTTCCCAATGATAAATTGGAACACAGGAATTAGATTTAAAAACTATATTGTATACATGGTGATTAAAATAAAATGGATTTTTGGAATGTCTGATGGGAAATTATAGTAGGCTGCTGGCTAGACAGCACCCACAGCTGTGAACTCTGACTAGAATGCATATATTACTCAGCACAATCTTCCTGAATCAGAGAAGATGAGATAAATTATGTGTGCTATGGACCGTAGTTTCTTCAGGGCTAACTGAAGAAATGGAAAAGATTTTGCAGTCATTCCAAGAGCTGAGATGCTGGGAAACCTATAACTGCATTAGAGCAGAAATGGACATTAAAACCTTGCTTTTCCCCACTTCTTAATAATTCCAGGAAGTAATTAATTACAGATGAAGAAATACTTCTTCTGCAGCAAAGATAAATTTTTGCAGTGAGTTAAACCTTTTTATGAGATTACAAAAACAAAAACAACCCAACAAGGGCAATTTAGATTTAAGAACTATTTGCAAAAAATTAAGAATAGATACAAGAAAGTTTTCAAAATAATATTTTAGTTCTTGAAATATTGAATAGAGACACAAATTATAGACATAAAGATGTAAAGAGTCATAAGAGAACTTTTGTGGATGAATTTTGGAAAACTCTGTAAAAGGAATTGAATTTTTAATGAGAAAGCTAGAAAAATTTGGGGCATTAGTTGGTATTAAGATTAATTTTAAAAAAGCCAAAGTAGTTAACAAAAATATGAAGATAAAAAATTAAATAAAATTAATAAAATGGATTTTTTAAGATTTAAAAGATAAAATATTTGAATATAACTATCACAAATATAAACACTATATTATTTCAAAATAACTATATTAAGCACTTAATAAAGTTAAAAAATATACCATATTTTTCAGACTATAAGATGCATTGGTGTATAAGACGTACCAACATTTCCATGCTCTTTTAGGGGGGAAAAGGTGCATCTTATACTCCGAAAAATATGGTATGTCAAGATGGGACTGATTACAATTGTCACTATTGGGGAAATGTGTATGGCAGGTGGGAAAACCCAAATTAAATATAAAGTTAAACGCATACAGATACAAAGGAAATGTGGGTCTAACAGATTTGAAATTATATTTTGCTATCTGATGTGCAGTTTGGATAAAAGAGTGTGTATTAAGGAATAGAAGTTATTGGAGTTAAGGACATGATTTAAGATTTGGGTGTAAGGATATTTATTATATGACAAAGCTAAGATGAATGTAGATAAAAATCATTATGTCAGGCAGGCCATTTTCAGAGTATGGAATAAATAAAAAGAAAAGTGAAAGAATGTATGATAAAAATGAGCTAAAAACTTCAGTTAAAATATGTAAATGGAACAATGGGAAATATATGACTGAAAGGTTTGAACATTGTGCTTTGAAGGTGCTTTGAATCTTTGCTGGAAATGTGAACAACATGAAAGGAAATTTTATTATGTTTGATGGACATGTAAAAAAGCCAAACCTTTTTTTGATACGTATATAAATATGGCAGGAATATATTTTCTGCCTGGAAGGCTCCTAGGGTGGAGTTGAAAGGCAAAAGGGAAGCAGCATGCTCCCTCCCATATTTGGGCATACCAGGTGTTTTGACATAACACTTAATTATTTCCTTGGCTCAGTTGATAAGGGAGGAGAGGCTAATACAACTGCCTAACACGTAAAAACAGTCCAGGTTTGAATCCCAGTAAGGGTATGGCTAGCTAATTATTTCCTTGGCTCAGTTGATAAGGGAGGAGAGCTTGTGGCTTAGAGGCTAGTACAACTGCCTAACACGTAAAAACAGTCCAGGTTTGAATCCCAGTAAGGGTATGGCTAGCTGATGAGAACTAAATAGCTTGAAATAGATC